ATTTTTTTTTTTTTTTGAAACACTGAAATATCAATAGATGGAAAATAACATCTAATTTTCATTTGAAGTCTAAGAACACTCTACAAAATCAATCACTGAGTAATACAATTCTAAATAATTTCTTTCACTAGTTTAGCCACCCCCAAACTTATCCTTTCATTGGTAAAGTGATTGAAGAATTTCTAACAGCGTGGTCATTTAAGTTCGTTTAACAACCTACAAGTGCAACCAACAAGTGCGTGTGATGAATCTCATGATCCAAGTGCTCCATAAAGAGTCAATCATGGAATAAGTGGATGAAAATAAACAACATTTAGCATTTATGTTCCCAATTCATAAATCAATGTGTTGCAACATTCAAAATGCAATTGGCAAAACTATCAAACAACACTAACAAGCACAAAACCAAGTGTTTAACACGAAATTTGAGTTATAGCAAGAACAAATTTAGCACAAACTACAAAATTACCATAAAAAAATTAGCAAAAATTTAGCACATACCACCTCACTCCCAAACTTAAATTGCACATTGTCCTCAATGTAAAAGAAAAAATAAATAGAAAGCGCAAGATGTTCAAATACTCCCCCAATGGACGGTGATGGCTGTGATGATGGTTGGGGACCATTGGTGACAAAAATTTACAAAAATAAGTGTCCTCTCTCATGCTTCTTCGATTAGATCCTCCAATAGCATTTCCTCCATATTTTGTGGTACGAAAGGTTCAAAATATGGCTTAAATCTATGCCCATTCACCTTAAAATCTTTCTCTAAACGCTTTTGATTTCTACTGCACCATGAGGAAAGACATTAGTAACAACAAAAGGGCCAATCCATTGAGAATGTAATTTACCTTGAAATAACTCGAGGCACAAGTGGTAAAGAAGAACTTTTTTTCCAACAACAAAAGCCTTTCTTGAAATCATTTTATCATGGTACGCCTTATTTTTTTCCTTGTAAATTCTTGAACTTTCATAGGCATCATTTCGAATTTCTTCAAGTTCATTGAGTTGAAGCTTTCTTTGATCACCCACTGCACCTATGTCCATGTTGCATTGCTTGACTACCCAAAATGCCTTCTGATAGAGTTCAATCGGGAGATGACAAGGCCTACCGTAAACTAACCGATAAGGGGACATGCCAATTGGTGTTTTGTATGTCGTCCTATAAGCCCAGAGTGCATCATTGAGGCGGAGACTCCAATCCTTTTTATTGGGATTCAAAGTTTTTTCGAGGATGGATTTGACTTCTCGGTTAGACTCTTCGACTTGCCCACTAGTTTGAGGCTAGTAAGGTGTAGTCACGTTATGGGTGATGTTGTATTTTTTCAATCAGTTCCAAAAGAAGCGGTTGCAAAAATGTAGTCCTCCATCGCTAATAATAGCTCTTGGTGTTCCAAACCTTGCAAAAATGTTGGATTTAACAAAATCTACAACCACATTAAAATCACTAGATCGAGTGGCCCTTGCTTCCACCCATTTTGACACATAATCAATGGCAATAATGATGTAAAGGTTACCATAAGATGAAGGAGAATGTCTCAAACATCAAAAATTTCAACAAAAAGTATGGGTGTTTGTGGCATTTGATTTTGGGCTCCCAACGTACCTACTCTTTGATATCGATCACAAGATTTGTAAAAAAGGAATGCATCTTTGAATAGGGTGGGCCAATAGAATCCACTTTCAAACACCTTGAGAGAAGTCCTCTTTGCTCCAAAATGTCCACCACGCGCATAGGAGTGATAAAAGGTAAGTATTGAATGAAATTCATTTTCATGCACACTCCTTCTTATCAATTGATCCGGACAATGTTTCCACAAGTATGGCTCGTCCCACACAAAATACTTGGCCATCGCCTTGAGTTTTTGCCTTTGAGCGGTGGTCAAGTCACTTGGAATTTTCTTAGTAACTAAATAGTTCACTATATCTGCAAACCAAGAAGATGTATCCATGGCAAGAAGCAATTGTTTATCGGAGAAGCTTTCTTACAATGGAAGAGTTTCTCTCTCATGGATAAGGCAACTGAGGTGGTCGGCCATAGAATTTTCACGCCCCTTTTTGTCTTTAATCTCAAGGTCAAACTCTTGTAAGATGAGTATCCATCCAATGAGCCTTGGTTTTGCCTCTTTCTTGGCAAGCAAATACCTAAGAGTTGCATGATCAGAAAAGACTGTTACTTTAGTGCCAATAAGGTATAAATGAAATTTCTCTAAGGCAAAAATAACTGCTAAAAGCTCTTTTTCAGTAGTAGAGTAATTGAGTTGGGCATTATTCAAAGTTCTTGATGCATAATATATAACATGAGGTGTTTTTCCAACTCATTGCCCTAAAATGGCTTCCAATGCAAAGTCACTTGCATCACACATCAATTCAAATGACTTGCTCCAATCTATTGGTTGAATGATAGATGCCAATGTCAAAAGTTCCTTCAAGCTCTCGAATGCCTTTTTACAATCTTCATCAAAATGAAATGGCACCTCCTTTTGCAACAGCCTGCATAATGGTCTTGAGCATTTGGAAAAATCATTAATAAACCTTCAATAAAATCCTTCATGTCCAAGAAAAGAATGAATCTCCCTTATACTTGTTGGAGGAAGTAAAGAGCGAATTAAATCAATTTTAGATTTATCAACTTCCACCCCCTTGGAAGAAATGACATGGCCTAACACTATGCTTTGATCAACCATAAAATGATATTTTTTCCAATTAAGTACTAGGTTAGCATCCATACATTTCTTAAGCACAAGTGTGAGATTTTCCATGTACCTATCAAAGGTATTACCATAAACACTAAAATCATCCGTAAAGACCTCAATGATGCTTACAATATAATTAGAGAATATACTTATCATGCATCTTTGAAAGGTTATGGGAGTATTGTAAAGGCCGAAGGGCATGCGCCGGTAAGCAAAGGTGCCAAACAAGCAAGTGATTATTGTTTTCTCTTGGTCCTCCGGAGCAATCACAATTTGGTTATAACCTGAATAACTATCAAGAAAATAATAATGAGAATGACCTGCTAATCTTTCCAACATTTGATCAATAAAGGGTAAAGGAAAGTGATCTTTTCGAGTTGCACAATTAAGTATTCTATAATCAATACAAACCCTCCAACCCGTTTGGACCTGAGTTGGTTCAAGCTCATTCTCTTCATTCATTACCATCATGATTCCGAATTTTTTTGAACAACTTGGACCGGGCTTACCCACTTACTATTCGAGATGGGAAAGATGACACCAACGTCTAGCAATTTCAAAATTTCTTTCTTCATAACCTCCATCATTGGAGAATTCAAGCGACGTTGTGCTTCTCTTGATGGCTTTACTCCATCTTCAAGCAATATCCGATGCATGCACATGGAAGGGCTTATCCTCTTGATATCGACAATTGTCCAGCCAATAGCTATTTTGTGTTCCTTGAGCACACGGATAAGCCTATCTTCTTGAAGTGTTGTGAGATTCTTTGCAATGATCACCGGTAGTGTTTCCTCCTCTCCCAAATATACATACTTCAAATGCTCGAGGAGATGTTGGAGTTCTAACTTGGGGGCCTGCATCACTGAAGGTAAAAATTTCTCTTTAGAGTTTAGATATTGGAAGAGTAATATAGGAGAGATTATACCTTGGTGGAATACTTGGTAGTGATTCAAGTGATGCCACAATTTCAACAATATCCTCACACACTTGTAAATTCTTGCTCAACCCGGTGAGATTGTTAGCATCAATGCTTTTAATCAAAGTGGTATCCAATACATCTTCATTAGATAATTCAAAAACATTTTGTATTAATGAATCCATTATATCAATTGAAAAACAAGCGTGAACATCACAAGGATACCTCATTACTTCAAAGATGTTGAAGCGAATAATCTCACCATCAAACTCCATTGTCAACGTATCATCATTTACATCTATCTTTGTACGCAAAGTCCTCACAAATGGCCTTCCCAAGAGCAACAGTGGCAATAAAGATGTTGGTTCATCTTGCATGTCAAGAATGTAGAAATCTGCAAGAAAAATCAATTGATTTATCTGCACCAAAACATCCTCCAACACACCCTTTGGAGATGCATTAGATCTATCAACAAGTTAAATAATAACACTGATTTCTTTAAGTGATCCTAGATTTAAGGAAGCATAATAGAATATGGCATGACATTAATAAATGCTCCTAAACGTAGCATTATTTTTTCAAACCTAGTTTTACCGATAATGCAAGGAATGGTAAAACTTCCAGGGTCTTTACATTTTGGTGAAAATTTCTTTTGCAAGGCCACTGAGACATTTTTTCCTACACTTACCACTTCATTCCCTTTCAATCTATACTTATTTGTGTACAAATCCTTGAGGAACTTTTCATAACGAGGCACTTGATAAATTGCATCCAAAAGTGGTATGTTTACTTGAACCTTGCTAAAAGTCTCCAAAATTTCTTTCTCATGTTCATCCTTTTTGGACTTTGCAAACCCGTCTAGAAATGGAGGGGAGGGAAAATAAGTAGGAGTAGAACTTTTAGATTCTACCTTAGATCCCACAGTTGGATTCGTAGTTTCATCTTTTTCACATGCTAAGTTCTTCTCTTGCATTGACTCCTCAACTTGATCTTTCATTTTCCTTGGTGCCTCTTCCAAAATTTTTCCACTTCTTAGTGGCACGGCCTTGCATTTTCTCTCGGGTTGATTGCTTGAGAAGGAAGTTTTCCTGATTTTTGAGCCTCACTTGTGTCTCCAAATTCTTAATTGAGGTCTTTGTCTCTTTTTGAAATCGTATTGTACTAGAAGCCAAGGACTTAACCATATCCTCAAGAGACATCTCTGAACCTTGAGGTGGAGTTTGTTGACTAGGTTCACAGTGTTATGGTTTCCTTTGTTGATTGAACCCCGGGGATGATTAAACTGTGATTGTGGAGCTATGAAATGATTTCCTCCATAACTTAGATTAGGATGATCTCTAAATCCAGGATTATATGTGTTAGCATATGGATCATATCTCTGTCTTTGTTGCATTGGAAATCCTTCAATGGCATTCGCTTGCTCTGAAGCTCCTTCTTGTAGTGTCGGGTATACCTCAGTAGGATGTCCCATAATAAAACAAATCCCACACGCTTTTGCTTGTTGCATTGTCCAAAGTGCCATTTGTTGTACAAGAGATATAAGACAGGCTAATTATCGTTCAATTTAAGAGGTTGCTCCTACCTCAGTTACTTGTTTAACCGGTGCCACTTCTCTACTACCAAATTGTTGTGAGTTTGCAGCCATGTTGGCTATCAAATACCTAGCAATTGCCGGTGTTTTATCCATTAAAACTCCTCCAGTGGCTGCATCAATTAGACTTCTCTCCATCGAGAGCAATCCTTCTTAGAAGTATTGTAGAAGTAATTGTTCACTGATTTGATGGTTTAGACAACTAGCACATAACCTTTTGAATATCTGCCAATACTCATAGAGATTTTCCCTTTGAGATTGTCGAATGCTACATATTTCTTTCCTGATGTTTGTAGCCTTTAAAGCTGGGAAATACCTCTACAAAAAGAGCTTTTGCATTTCATTCCACGTCGTAATAAGACCGGCCGGCAAATAATATAGCCATTCTTTAGCGGTATCCGCAAGAGATAAAGGGAATGCTCGCAATTTCACTTGCTCTTCTGATATACCCGTCGGTTTCATGCTTGAGCAAACCACATGAAACTCTTTCAAATGCTTATTTGAATCCTATCGGACGAATCCATGAAATGTGGGGAGTAGATGAATCATTTCAGACTTTAGTTCAAATCCCACCTCCACTTGAGGATATTGAATGCATAGATGTTGTTGAACAAAAGTTGGAGCTGTAAGTTCCTTTAAGGTTCGATTTGCATCCGTCATTTCAGATTCTATGTGTTCGGACTCACTTGAGGATTCAATGCTCAATCGCCTTAGATGTCTAGTTGGAGAAATGTCTTCTCCACTTTCCGACGTGTCAACTTCTTTTCTTGATCTTAGGTTGTAGTGTTGTAGGCTTTTTGCTCATTCACAACCTAAAGGACAAAGAAAATAACAAAAATAAATAAAAAATCAACAAAAAAAGAAAATATTGCAATTAACAAATTGATATAACAATCCTCGGCAACACAGCGCCAAAATTGATAAGTTGTAAATCACATTCCAATTACTTTTCCTTACTTAACTTAATTGTGTCGTTTTGAATAGTAATATGGCAAGTAAGGGTCATTTTCCGCAAAGGATTGATTCAATTATGTCAATTGCGCACAAAAACATAATATTAACAATTAAATGCAAGATATATTAAATGGGGGGTTTGGTTCGTTTAACTAAGGAAAGCAATAAATTCGAAATAGAAAAGACTTGAAATTTGAAATAAATAAAGTGGTTGTCGATGGAATATGAGAAAATGTGATTGGGGAAAGTGATAAATTCGAAATAGAAAAGAGTTGAAATTTGAAATAAACAAAGTGGTTGTCAATGGAATATAAGAAAATGTGATTGGGGAATATTTCGTCACCAAAAGAATGATTTTCATGTCAATTACCACAATAGATTTTTCGTTTTCAAGATTAACAACAATTTAAGAATAATTACAAACTCAATTATCTTAATCTCTTACTACATGATAGTTGAATAAAACAAGCTCTTTACTCGACCCTATTCATTAAACAACCTAGAACAAGTTCTCTAGATTTAATTTAACAAACGCGTTACGACAAAAGAGGTGAATTGAATTAAGGGCAAACTCGCAAGCTCGGTTTACTAACTTAAATGTTAATCCACATACATTCAATTGAAAGTTCTTCATAATCTATCCAAATGTAATTGCTACAAGGCTTTCGAATAAATAGCTATTACGTACTATAAGTCCCAAAATAACATTAATTGAAACAACTCAATCATTTAGTTGTACATCTAAACAATTAAGAAAAACAAAATTAACAATTAATCCAATGGATTAAACACATTAATCAAGAGAACTATAAAGCAGAAATTAATTGAAAATCATGATTCGAGTTTGAAATAATCCCCAATCACAAATTTATTTAGTTACCCATGAAATATCCACAAATAACCAACAAATTCTTACAACCCATTAATGGAAAATAAATTAGAGAAAAGAAGATCTTATTGATAATGAGACTAATGATTGAGAAATGAGTCTCCTCTTCCACGCTATTTCACCATCTCCAAACTCTAATCTTCCCCAAAATATCTAAGCAAATCAAGATGCAAGATGAAGGAAAAAGAAAAATAAAAGAAAAGCAAGAGAACCAAGAAAATCGGCTGCCTTTTTTTTGCCCTCAAGAAGAAGTCGGCCCTCCCTCTTCTTTTTTCAAAAGTTAAGGTTTTAATATTATAACTTAAAGGAAATTTACAGCAAAGGTCCCTGGAGTTTAGGAAAGAAGTTTAATAATACCCGAGTGGCGCCGGAACAGTGGCACCTAGGCACCACATATTTTGCCCAAAGTGGACAGAATTCTGCTTTCTTTTCTTTTCTTTTCTTTTTAAAATTTTTTTTATTATAGTTTTCGACTGCGTCTTTGGTCGTGTTCTTTGTTTTCCTTCATCTTTAGCTCGTTTCTTGCATAAATTTCTTATAATCATTGTTCAAAATCGAGTTTTCACCTACACAATAAAATAACTAAATTAAGTAATAAATTACTGATAAAACTTACAAATATCTAAATTTAATGGCTCGAATACGTGCCAAAAACCCGCACTTATCAATTCATCTTATATAATGGGATTTCAGTTTGCTTGTTAAGTAATATATTTGCTTATACAAATTCTGTATATACACAACGTCACTACTCACGGGGAAAAATGGCTCATATCAAAATAGATTACATAAGAAATTATTTGATCAAAGTGGTAGCATTGGTAGGCCAACCAACTCATATTTCAAGAAGTTGACCAGATACAAATGGATGTCAGTTACAACATTTTAACATTAAATTACAATTTCATAATCTAATACTCACAAATAATAACTCTTATACAGCAGAAATAATCTAATGAGAATCGATTATTATCTTATATTAAGCACCGAAAATCATTTATATCTCGTTGAATAAGAAATTTAACTCAAATGTCGAAATCCACTATAACACTATAAGTTTTTTCATATATGAATTAAGAATTTTGCTATTTGTACATAAAAATGGTACATAAGAAGTTACCCAAAATGATGTACATATAAGGTTCATGAATTAATATGCATTCCCTACAATGCAAAAGAGGTTTTTAAAATTTATTTTATATAATAAATTAGCAATTAGTCCCATTAATTACCATTATAAATTTGTAATTAGTCACATTAATTACCATTTTTTGTATGCCTCTACTTTGGAATAAGAAACGGTGTAAATTCCCAATGAAGAAACAAATGTTCGAGTCACGGGGGCAGTACCTTGTCCTATTGACCCAAAACCCCATCTATTTCTCCGCCACGTGTCCCCTTCCCCCACTTCATTTTAAAACCACGCCTCCGCTCTCAAGAAACCTCTCATATCCTGAGTAGAAAAAAACAAGAAAAGAAGATGACTAACGAACAAAAGAATGGTCTGCCGGAGATAAAGGTGGAGGTGGCTGAGGAAAACTTCATAATGAGCGGTCCGACTCCAGATCGCCGGAAATTTGGTCACCGGAAGAGTGACGTCATGCACGTCGTTTTAAGACTGCTCTGTCTTTTAACATGTGTCACATCAGTCTCTGTAATGGCTACTGCCAAACAAGCTTCTACCATTTCTCTCTATGGCTTTAGCATCCCTGTCTTCTCCAAGTGGTCCTTCTCTGATTCTTTTGAGTAAGCACGTTTTAAATTACTATATTTCCCTTCGTTTTTTTTTTTTTTTTTTTAAAGCAAAATAGTCCAGTAGATTCACACAGTCGAACACACGGTATTTCCCCAATTTAAGGGATTGTGTTAGAAATGGAACAAAACAAGAACCCGTGAATCAACTTTTGGTTTTTCCTAATTCATTGCATTGAGTTAGAAATGGAACAAAACAAGAACCCGTGAATCAAACTTTTTGGTTTTGGACATCCTGTTTTTTGAGATGACTATAATGCCCTCAAACAAAAATAAAAAGAAAAATTGTTGGCTCCATAATTATGGTAGTTATGAGGTGAAGATTGCATTGTTTGATGCAATGAACAAGAAAATTGGTAAAATGTGATTTGAATGAATAAAGAGTGGTTGAGTAATGAAAATTTGTGCTGATCAGGTACTTAGTTGGAGTTTCAGCAGCTGTAGCCGTTTATTCGTTGCTTCAACTGCTCATTAACATACCAAGGGTACTGCGAAAAACTCTCGTGATTCCTTCGAGAAATCATGCATGGATCGTTTTTGCTGCGGATCAGGTAATGGATCGAAAACCATGATTTAATTGGCCTCATATATATACACGTGTGACAAAGTGTAAATATATCTTCTACGTTGTTATTGATATTTCTACTTTTGTTGCGTGATAACACTTTGAAGCGATTGCAGATTCTATGGCGGTTAATAATTCGCTTTCTTATAGTGCTTTTGCTGTGTTGGTATTATGATTTGCGAAGCCTTTGAATTTCTATGGCAAAAACTTAATATTTTGGCATTCAACGAGACCCCAGTTGTCTAGGAGTCTAAAATCAGAAGTGGGAAAGATACAGTCGAAAAATGAGGTGGTGGAGGGCTTGATGGCTGAAAAGAAAGAAGGGGATTTAGGTCTTTCCCTTCCCCGACTTGGAATAGTTTTTCCCGATTCTGGTCCTATAAGAATAGTTCTGATGCGGTTACAAGTGATGACAAATAAAATATCTGATGACAAATGTCATCTTTCTGTCTTTTCCTGTGATAGTTTTCTATTTTGGTTGAGAAACCGGCGTCTGATTGAGTTTTGCTAAGACTTGGCCGCAATGGCCCTTCTTTGTGAAAATTTTGGCAGGACTAGCACAAGTTTTAAATTTGTGAATAAGTTAGGAATTTTAATGATAAATCTTTTATTAGGCCCCGCTTAAGACATAGAGATTTGTAGGTATATTTTACTATACGAGAAAGTCTTTTCGTGGATCTAGTTTGTATACCAGATCTCGAGTTGATTAAAGTCTTAAATCAAGTTTATCTGCCTTGTCTATTACCCGTTTATTTTCTTTTCCGTCTCATGTTTTGGCAGATATTTGCATATGCTATCATGAGTGCTGGATCAGCTGCATCTGGTGTCACGAACCTGAACCGTACAGGGATCCAACATTCTTCTCTGCCAAATTTTTGTAAACCATTGCATATTTTCTGCACTCGAGTGGCTGTATCCATAGCCTTCACGTTTTTCAGTTTCTTCTTGCTAGCCTTGACAGCAGTAATTGATGTAGTTTGGTTGTCCAAGTACTAAATTTCTCCTTGTTATTGGTAAATACTTTGTTAACTGATGCTTTTGGTTCTGTTTACGATATTGTGTATGAATCGCTGGATTTTACTATAACTTGAATGCATTTCTTGAGAGTTCTAGTTCTAGTTCTAGTTCTGCTCTTACGCCACTTTCCGGATCTTCTTTATATTGAGGCTGCAAAGAAAATATTGGTCCCCCTTGGAAATCGAATACAAGATGTCCAATTCTGATACCAATTGGTATAGGGATGTGCAACTAATTTTTTCAAAAGTTATAGCTGATAGAAGAGCCACAATCGAACCCTCAAATCGACTAGGATTGGACCTGAAAATTCACTCCAAATGCTATTCGTTTAGGGGCTAATCACATTGCTCAATATGCCCACCCCGTTCTTAATTTTCTTGCTTTAGTGAGCATTGGAACCATAAAAACAGGGTGAATATCACGGGGCAACCATTAGATATATTAAAAGGTTCTATATATGTTGTGTATGTATGTTTCACATTACATAGGTTTCACATTACATAGTTTTTAAGAACTATATCACATTTTAATTGCATGAAGGTTCATAACCTTTACTCATTATGACACTTAAGTCCCAAACTTTTTTATTGAATTTTTATTTTTAATTTTTCATTAATTAGCTCATCTTGTTCTTTTTATCCAAAAATTTTGTTTATATATATATATATATATAATTAATTTCTTTTGAAAAACATAAACCTATAGACTATTTATTTGCTATCTTACAAGTAACTAAAGATTTACACCCAGAATTAAAAGAACAGATCTTATATAGATCTTTAATTTCAGAATTTAGAGAAGAATATTTTATAAATAGTTTTGATCAGATATTTATATCAGATTTAGAATTAAGGATTGAATTAGATAATATAGATAATAATTATTTTTCAGATCATACAAATTTTTCATTAGATTCTTTTTATTTTTCAGATTAGAATTTTAAACTGGATCTTTTAATAAAAGAGGTTAATAAATTAATTGGAGAATTAAGTGCTTTAGAAAAAAGAATCTTTAATATTGAGAAGGATATTAATAAAATTCGTGAAAACCTAGATTTTATTAAAGAACAAAATTTAATTATTTTAAACAAAATTTCTAGAGTAGAAGATAAAGAAAAATTTCCAGATCTTAAGACTACAGAAGCAATAGAAAATATAAATAAAAAATTAAATAATATAGAAAATAAACCAACTCAAGAAGTAGAAAATATAATAAATAAGTTAGATAGATTAAGTTTAAAAAATACAAGTAAAGAAAAAATAACTAGAAAATTATCTACAATATTTTATAAAATATGAATAATTTTCCTGACAGATCAAGAACTATTAGAGAAGTAGGATCATCTTCAGAACCATATGATAGAGGTAGACATAGTACTTCTAATATAAGTACAAATATAATAGAAAGAATTTTACATAGACAGCCTCAGTATAATCAGAATATAAGATGCCCCTCCATCAGTATAGCCTTCTGAATTATTGTCCTCTTCTGTATTATCCTTATAATCTTCTTTAAGATCAATTTTCTTTTTGCCTTTGTTTTTCTTCTTTATCTGCAACTTCTTCTTCTTTGAGGTCTTTTGTTTAACTTGTTGCTGTAATTCTTCTATTTTATCAAACATTTCTTTCAATCTTTTTATATCTGATTGAGTAATTTGCTCTGGATCTTGTGATGATTGAAATGATTCTGGGATAAGATTAACTGGACTTTTCTGTTTTAAATCTGTTGGATTAATTAATCTAGTAGCAGAATTTACAGTCTGTTGAGTCTGTTCTTCAGTAATTTTATTTTCTGTAACAGGATTTTTAGCCTGTTGAGTCTGATTAGTAGGAGAATCAACAGCCTCCTGAGTCTGTTGAGCTTTTGGTAAGTCCAGAACCATAAACGGATTTGTTAAGTCTTTACCAGCTACCGTTTGAGCTGGACTAGCTATAGA